CATTTTTTTTATATTTTAGAACAAATTTCTTGCCGTGCAACGCACGGGTATGAATCTAGTTGAATAGTAAAAGTAATGTTCCCTGGAAGTGTCTTCTTCGGACGGTGCACAGAAGCCGGAACCAGATGCCGACCTTGAGCCGCCAGTCATCGCCATGCTCGGAATCCATGGCTGCTGCCGGAATGGTTGCCGTCGGACTGCCGGAATTGTCATCGCCGACCTAGGGTCGGAACCCTAGGCCGGCTCTTCTCTATTCACGATCTCCCTCTGCTCTCTGTTTCCTATCCGTCTCCCACCTATTTTGGGTGGCCTCAATTTATTTTTATAATTGAAATTAAAAGATATTGAATTGGAGGAGAAGTTTTCGTTTTATCCCCTCTCGTTGAAGACTTGGTCTTGAAGAAGAATTCTACTTCGCTGCTCTTTGCCTATATCTCACCATCTTTTATTAATTTTCTTTGTTTTTGTTTCCATCATGTCTTATGACTTATGACCTGGTCCAAAAACAAAGGAATGAAATGGGTTTAAATCTAAGTTGGTTTTGACTTCAACTATTAACTTTAACATCATTTTTCTCATTTTAAATCCAAGAACTTCTTAACAATATGGCCAACACAAATATAACTCTAAAATAATATTAAAATATAAAATTACTCAAAATCATGCATTTTATGTATAAAATATAAACAGTAGCCTAAAGTGCTAAATAGAACAAAATATGATTATTTAGGTATAAAATGCATATACAATATCTTAAAAGTGCTAAGAAATGAGGGGATAAAATATGACATTTTGTGACTTATCAAATACCCCCACACTTGGACTTTTGCCCGCCCTCGTGCAAACTAGAAATTGACAACCTTTTTCGATTTGTTGAAATTAGAATTCAAAACAATTTCTCAATCTCATAACCATCTAAAGTGATGCATGAAACATTAACTAGAAATTAATCATGTACCAAATAGAATAAACCCTTTAAAAATCAATTTACTAGTATAAATTTTAAAACAGTTCTTTCACTTCAAAGCTAAATAGAAAACATTTTTATTTAATGTCAAAACTTTGAATTAACTAAGGTCATTGAGAACAATTTAAAAGAAATCTACAGAGCAGCAAAAAGTGATTAGAAATCCGAAGAAACAATTAAGTAAAGAAAAACTCAAGAAAATTTATTTTCTTTTCCAAAATTTGGAAATTTTTAGTTGTTGCTTTAATTTAATATTTAATTTTAATTGTTTGAGTTGACCCGTGTAGCGAATCTCAACCAGGCTACCCCAGACCCATTCCCAAATAGTCCAGGACCTAAATAAACGAAGTATTCCGAGGGTTTCAACTCGAGTGCTCAAACAATATTTTTCATTCATTTTTTATTCTTTTTTCTTACCTAGCCATTTATTGCACTTTTTTTTCTTTTGGCTCAATGGCATCGGTTTTTTTTCTCTTTTTTTAACTGGTTATGGACGAGATTCGTACGGCTCAAAACGGGGTTTGCTCTTCCAACTCAGGTTTTCTCCATACACAACATTACTTTCTTTTGAGATCTGTTGCTTAAGGGAACAAAGGTGTCGTGCCACCCATGTCAACCTAAGATGGTGTTCCAGTATATATATTTAATCATTTCAGCATCTTGATAATATGTAAATAACCAAAATTTAGAAAAAGAAAAAGATTTTCTTAAGACTAACTTTACTTGAATAGCAACTTAGGATAAAAAAAGTTAGAAAACTACTCCATGTATTTCTAAACAAATTGTGCACATTGAACTTAACTAATTAAAAGGTATGAAATTAAACAAAAACAAGTTCCAAATAGATTTGACTTAAAAGAAATGATTTAAAGTTTATAGTAGAAAACTCATTTTTAAACAAATTCAATCATACTCGTTACAAAATTAATTTCATTTTAATGCAAAAAATGCAAACACTTAAGAGTGTTAAAAGATTAAAAGAAACTATTATGATTTCTAATTTTTCTTAAAATTCTCTTTTTTCTTATATAGATTTTCATGCAAAGAATTATTGTTTTCTTCAAAAACTTTTAAAAATTGAAATTTTTTTGTAACCAAATTGCATCTAAAATGCTAAATTTGACCTGAAATACCTTTTTTCCTACCCAATACATGCTCCTAGTATGTGTATGAAAACATGCAAAATCATTTTTTTCCCCGAAAATATGCATAACTAAATGCAAAAAGCGTCCTCCACACTTAAATCATGCAGTGTCCTCAATACATGTAAATGGTGTAAAAATGATGAACTTTTGCACATACAAGATGAAACAATGAACAAGGAACATGTAAATAATAAAAAGAGATGCAAAATGAGAGGGAGGGGATCACAAGATATGACAATTAAACATGCAGGGCAGACAAAGTGCAAGTAAAGACGAGAGTAAAACAAAAATAAAAAAAAGTAAATAACATGCATAAAAGTAAAAGTTTAAATATCGGGGTTGCCTCCCAGAAAGCTGTCATCTTTTAATGTCTCGTTGTTCTGCTCAAGGACAACATGGAGAATCCATATTGTACTCTAAATAACCTGTGATTACTCAAAACAAAACTCCAAAACAAACCAAATAGCTAATCACAAGGTCAAAGTAAGCAATAAAACTAGTTTTAGTAATATTCATAAGTGTATTTTCCAAATAAACACATAAAGCTCTAACAAAAAAATTTCTCAAAAAGTGATCAAGTTTCTGAAAAATTGGATGTTATGATGTGGGGTGATAAGTGAAGAACTAAACAGGGTATTTGTAAAGCACAAATAACAAAATTATACCCAACACATAAAATAGTATTTGGAAAACAAATTTTCTTGTTAATCTTGCTAAAACTATTTTTTTCCGTTCAGTGATTTTATGCCGTCATATACGGAGTACAATTTGAGACCAAGTTTGATAAAACTGTTTCAAATTGCTAAAACTTTTTTGAAAGGGAAACTGTTCAATAAGATGTCTAACATGAAACGGAAACAGTTTTTTCCATATTTGAGTTCAATGATTGGACTGCCATTTTGAAAAACTTGAGAGCTTTGTCATATAAAAATGTAGCTTTGAAACACAAATTCAGGATTTAGGCAGAATGCTAGGATTTCAAATTCTTGAGAGCGAATGAAGACGAAAAAACAAAACCAAGGAAATCTATTTTAAGCTCTAATTTCCAAATCACATTCCACTTCTTATTTAAAGCATACTGAATTATCTAGCACAGAGTATAAGAAAAAAAACAAAGTGTAGAGGAATGCTAACCAATGGGAAATTTTCAACACTTCAACTAACCGCAGTTTGTTTTACTTTGCTATCCAACATTCTCTGTCTAAACTCACAAGTTGATTTTAAAACAGATTTTTCAATAAGGTTTCAGTCTTTTTAATTATTAAGCAATTTTTTTTTTCAAATTTGAAGACTATGGTTTAGTGCTTATCAAGGTAGGAAATGTGATTTTCAACTCTAAGCAAAATGCAGACTCTGTAACTAGCTTTAACATATAAAATGTGCAAGTTATTCTGCTCAATTCGTCTAGGAGCATGAAAACATTGTTACTTAGCAAAAAGATGTTGAAATGAAAATAATAGCTTCTTCTAGAAAAATAGGGTTGAAAAGATGTCTGGCCAGTACCTAGTTTAACCCCTACACTTAAAATCTTATTGGAGAAGAAATTTATAAATAAAAATAGAAACTTTATTTTCTTATCTTTAGAACAAAGTAGACTTAATCACAGGTCATAGGAATGATGCTCAATCCTTCTAAGAGCCAACACGTTAAATCAATGCAAAATCACTGTCTCAATTAAGCATGACTTAAACATAAATGTGGATTATGCCACATGTCAAGTAAGAACAAGTAATGATGTATTTAGGAACTATAATCAAAACATTACAATTACTTGCTCACTAGGTACCCAAGAAAACCAAAAATAGGATGCGAAGAATTTTTTTTACCAAAACCAAACCCAGAAGTCAATCATTTAAAGGGAGAATCACCTTGTTACATTGATATTATAAATTGAGTTCCACCTAAAAATGAGAGTGGGTTCAGTATACTTACCTGGAAAGTAGGAGTGCACATTTAGAGATGCAACAGAATTGATCCTTATGCCATAACATTCATAACCCAAACCTAGCTCTGAAGTGTTGGGAAAATCACCTCAATTTTCTAGCGGAAGCAATTAATAATTTTCCCGTCTTTGTGTTGTCAAAATGGGCAAAATCATATGACCGATCAAGAATAGCAAACACGACAACAATCAATCAAACGATAAACGAACACCAAGATTTAACGTGGAAACCCCAAATCGGGGAAAAAACCACGAAGCCTTCCACTAATCACCAAGAAAAATCAGTGGGTAAACCAAGAATCCTCTCTAAACCAATTAGAGGTATACACAATCATCAAGAAACAACTTGGAACACCCAAACAACAATAATCTTCACTCAAAAGTGAGAAAACCACATAAAAACGCAGCAGAGAACCAGAGGCAATTTTACCGACATCGAGAGGTCAAAACAACAATCTCACCGTTGGATATGAAGAAGAGAATGTCAGGAACAACATACTAAAATTTCATCCCGATCGGAGCTCGTTTGGTCATCGATCTGAGCAAAAACCCAGACTGCTCTGCCCCACTTTTTCTCTCTCGGTTCTCTCTATTTTCCTCTGTTTCTACGGTTGTTCACCTTCTGCCAGTGACCTTTTTTAGCCTCAAAAAGGCTACTGCCATTTCAAATAAGTGGCAGCCCACTTTGACCATTCCCATTCTTTTTTTTTTTCTTTTATAATAATAATAATAATAATAATAAATATTATTATTATTATTATTATTATTATTATATTACTCCACCTCTAAACAAATTACATTTTAACACTAAATGTATTGTTTAGGAACTCCTTCCTCCATGTAGGAGGGATACCCCAACATGAAGTAATGCAACTCTTTCTACGGATCTTGAGACTCTAAAAATGCAGCATTGTTTGCGGGGGAACTTGACGACGATCCTCTCAGTAATGTTTCACTGTGTTTGTTCGTGATGATCTCCGTGATAATTTACTTTGGCCCATGCAATCAGACTTGAAATCAGGTTCTCCGGCATGTTGCACTACAATTTGTTCCAATTCTGGAACGTGAGTCTTGCATGTAAATATGCATAGCTTTGTTCTTTTTCTCTCTGGAAAGAAGTTTCCGTCTGCAATTCGCATAAGAAGTTCATTAATATCCCATCTATTTAGCTATTTAAAACCTGAACTTCAACAAGGAAAAATTTAAAAGAGACAAAACAAGAGCAAGAATAAGTTGTTTAAAGTTCTGAATATTTTTATTACTTGGGCCTACTGATTTTTTTTGTTAGTTCTAGATTACTTTTAATATACAGACTTAAGTTAGAAAAGTAATAGAAAAATTCAGAAAGGTCAGATAAAAAAAATTAAATCCTAAACTCCAAGTTAGTGTTAAGTGAATTCAAAGATTATAACTTAAAACCAGAGATACTAACAACAGACACATCTAAAATTCTTATTAAATGACGACTTTAGTGTACAAAGACATAAACTGACTAAAAAAACAACTGCAAAACTGACTACTTATCCCCAAAAGACACAAATAATCCTAGACACTAAGCTAGAGTTTTGAATAGACCCATTAACTAACAAGATAAACACTAAGAGAAATAAACTAAACAAAACGGTAACATGGAATACTAACTTTCTCTTTTTTTTTTAAAAAAAAAAGATTTGTTTTTCAAATGTTTTTTAAGTTTTATTGAATTGTATTCTAAATTTCATTTTTAGTGTTTTTTTTGCTTGTCAAAGCTTTGAGGTTAGCATTTTATGTTAGAGCATCTACAACGCATGTTGTATATTTTGGTAGTGTAAAAGTAATTTTACACTATCAACAGTGTTTTACACATCCAGTTTTTTATATTCACTCCAACCATATCTTATATTTAAAACACTTTTATAATACATTATTATTATATTATTTTTTACAGCCTTTCTATCTACTCTCCTTATCCAAAAATTCATTTCCAAATTTAATAGCAGACCTGTTGCAGAAATTTATCTGAAAGAAGGTTTGAGGAGAGTATCAGTTTTGGCTTCCTATTTTAGGGCAGAGCAAATTGAAGAAATGAATAAAATAAAAGGTGAATTAGAGAAAGGGTACAGATTGCATCAGTTTTGACTTGAAAGAAAATTGAAGCAAATTGAGAAAGGGATTGGGATGAAGAATTTGAAGCAAAATAAGAGGAAGAGCCGAAGGGGATGAAGAAAAAAAAGAGAAAACAGTGAATACACTATCTACAGTGGCTGTGTAGAAATAAGAGGTGGGACTTGATTTTTGCACTATAGTGCTTTTTAGCTTTTGGGATACACTATGCGCTAGAGGAAGATAAAATGAAGAGTAAATTGGATATAGGGTATATTTAACCATATACACCTTGCGTTGGAGATGCTCTTATTCTTGACTTTTTTTAGTTTTTTTTCTTTTTTAGGTTTTTTTTGCTTTTCATGTTTATTATTTTTTTGTTTTGTTTGAAACATAGCAAACTGAATTCCAAAAAAGTTAATCTTTTTCCCCGGCAACGGTGCCAAAATTTGATATGCATGTCGTAGCACCTACAAATTAATTTATTATTTTCCTTAACTAAAATCCTCCTTTATGAATTAATATTAATTAAAACATATAGATAGGGCAAGTAAGGGTCGATCCCACAAGGAAAGATACTTTTATTGTTATGAAAATCAGTTTACTTTGTCACTTTTATTGAATAAAAACTAATTAAAATCTAAAAACTAAAACTAAAGGATATGGGGGGGGGATTTGAAAGATAAAATTAAATGATAAAAATGCAAATTAAATAAAGATAAAGTATATAGATAAGGTCCTTGCTAAGGTCCTCTTCTTCTTGGCTTCTATATCTTCCTTGCTTCTTCATGGACTTCTTTGTTTAATCGAGAGAAAAGAATCCTTGCTTTTTAAGCAAGGGGTATGAGATTAAGAAGAGATTTACAACCAGAATTTAGAGATGAGGCATGACACGCAGGCCGTATTTAAAAACCAAACATTCTAAGCCACAAACATGCACCATGCATACATTCATACATCACATGCATAAAAACCATACACCGGGCAAGCCGCGCTCGCACCAGACCTAGTTTATTCTATGAAAAATAAACTACAAGCCTAAAAATTATCAAATAATCTTATTTAACTTTATTTTAAAACTCCAGAATATCCAAAATTTAATTTTGAATTTTCCTGAATTTTAAAAGAGTTAATTGCCGTAAATATAGGTATTAATTTCGAAATTGGGATTTTAATTCGAAATAAATACTTATACCTTTTTAAAATTAATAAATAAATTCCAGAATGTGTATTCTGATTTTATAAGTCTGAAAATAAAATTTCCAGAATTTATAAAAATTATTTTAGAAATTCTATATTTAAATCCCCAAAATCGGACTTTAATTTTCCAAAAACAAATCCCGAGTTTCCAAAAATTAATATTTTCCAAAAATATTTACTTTGGGTCCGTGTTGTTCTGAAAATCAAATTTACAGAATTAAATAAATTTTATTTTCGGTATTTTGGAATTTGTTTCCAAAAGGAGTTAAATTAATTTCCAAAATTAATTTAGAATATTCCAAATATTCCAAAAATCAATATTTTCCAAAAATAAAGTTTTTGACTCATGTACAATCTGAAAACAATCTTTTCCAGATTTTACTTAAATTTGTTTTCAGTACTTTCTATTTATTATTTGGCAATCCATAAAACAATTTCCAAAATTATTTTTCGTGTACCATAATTGTTCCAATAATCATTAATCTCAGAATATTATGATATTATTACCAAATATTAAATTTCCATAATTTAAAATTAATTATTTAATTTTCGGGAATTAAATACCGAATTACCAAAACTGTTATTCCCAAATATTAATAATTAAATACTTAAACAACGAATTTAACTCTAAAAACTTTTAAGAACTCTTAAAATCATATTCTCAAGTTCATAAAATTATAATCCCGAATTTTAATTGTCCTTTTCGGTTTAATCCATATTATTACCGAATAAGACTATTTAAATCGGGAAAAATAGAAAATAAAAACCGAAAATTTATTTTAATTTTCAAGAGTACTTAAAATCATATTTTAACATTCCAGAAGTATTAAAATTAATTTTTATAATTTATTTTGTATTTATCTTGTAATTAATCAAATTAACTACAAATCAAACAATACCTTATAAATTAGAAAATAAATTCCGAAAATTAATTTTAAATTTCCAGAGGTATTTAAATCATATTTGGAAGTCTCAGATTTAATAAAATTTACTTTTAGAATTTTCTAAATATTTTAATTGGTTAAAACAATTTTTAACCGATTAACCCGAAAAATAAAATAAATCCAAAATCTATTTCAGAAATCATATTTTCGAATTTTATAAAGTCCAGAATCATATTTTGGCACTTTCTTGAATTTTGGATAATTTTCAAAAATATATACACATATATTTTATTTTATCAATTATCAAAAACCCTAACGGCTATTAGATCTACAAAACTTATAATTCTCATAAGTCGGCTTTGATACCACTATTGGGTAATCTCTGATTACATCATATGTGGAGTCTCTACTCCTTCATGGGTTCTAACCTCTCAAGGTGGACACCCATGAAAACCTATCAGAGCACGCATCACAATACGCCCCCAGGCGGTGAGCCACGCTTCGTCTCTTCAAGATCACGAGTGAGAGGTCCTGGGGATTGGCCAAACCTTTGTAATCTCCATTACAACCCTTTGACCTTTGCTCCGATACCACTGTTGGGTTCTACGCTTGGATAGGGCAGCGGAAATATAAAAATTTTGGGTCCAAACGTAGATCCACCCAGGACCTCTTATGATTATTATAAGTTATTGTTTAGAAATATACCTTTCTTGGCGAGCAAGTAACGATATGTGTAGGTTGATGGATTGATCCAAGAGCTAGCCACAAAAGTATATGACCTCCAGTTGAGACACACGAACAACGAAGAGTGTTCTAGAGAAAATTATGCTAGTGATTTTACTCTAGAATATTTCTAAAATATAAAATATTTGGTGTAAAGTATTAAGAGAACAAAACAAATTTTTCTCTCTTAAAACTATGGTATGGCTGAAATTCTAGTAGTTAAAAAGGGGTGGAATGATCTCCTATTTATAAGGAGCATAATCCTCATTCATATTCCTAATAAGAATGTTCCTTTTAGAGTTTAGGAAGGAAATCAAATCCCATTCATATTCTACTTAGGAAATTTCAAATGGCACTTTAAGGAAGCTTCCAATTTATTTTGTCAACTTTAATTATCATATAATTAACACAAAATAAATAATATAACATTTATTTTATATATATCCGAAATATACATAAACATATATATACATATATATATGGCAATATATATACATATTATATACACGCACATATACATATATAAATATAATAATGTTATATTTTGTTCCTTAAATAATATTTGACAAACTTAATTATCATATAATTGAAATGTCCAAATATTAAATATATATACAAATATATATATTTCGTGCCTTAATAATAATAAAATAAAGTAATAAAAAATTTATTATTCACACACACACACACACACACACACATATATATCCGAATATATATACTTTATTATTATTAAATATATTTGACAAACTTAATTATCACATAATTAAAATGTCCAAATATAAATATTTATTTATATACATTTTTGTGTATCTAATCACATTGTCACACAATATAATATACACAACATATAAATAAAGTGCAACATTACTCCACTTAAATATTCTACACTTTCATATGTTCTATGTGTGTGACCCTATTCTAGGCATCTGTAAAATTGGCCATAGTATCGATTAAATACTACAAGTGATAAGCGGTATCTAACAACACATTATCACCCCCAAACTATAGATGAAAGCTCTTGGAACATTTCCTTCAACGACACATCCTATTTTTATAACCCTTATCCCTTTATCACTAATATCTTGATTTAACACAAGGTATGGGGTGTGTCACCTTGTTGAAGTTAAATCGATGGTTTACTCATTCTTCGATTGACTTGTGGGATTCAAATAACTTATTTATTTGGGCATGGCCATGCACTTCCCATGTCACATCAATTAGTGGGCCCTAAGATATTATGCTTCATTAAAGAAGGGATAAATTCTGTCTACGCCATTCACATCTTTGCTTAAGTTTCATTGCATACCCAAAACATGTCGCAGCACACACCGTCTGTACCACCTCATTATGAGCTTCAGCGTAGTAGCAAGGCGTCTACAGATTTTGTTGACGTCGCTGGTGTCACTGAGGTACATATATTTTGTAATTAAGGTTTCCCGTTTAGTTTACGTTTACTTGTTTCCGAAAATAGTTTACTA